TAAGCGTGTTCTAAAGAACATTTGAAAAGGACCCCTCGCTCGGCAGGAAAATTGGAAGGGTTCTCTGAATGGAGGGCCGAGACCGCAACTTCCCCAAAATAACGGGGGGGGGGGGAGATCTTTTGCTCAGTGAAGAGATTTACAATAAACCCTGCCCCCCTCCCCAAGATAAAGGGTGGGGAGCGAGGCTCCTTTGCTCTTCAGAAAAATCCCATTAACGGTTTAAAAAACAAACGTAAGGACAGAAGGCAGAGGATTGAAGCCCCTCGACTTGCGTATCCACAGCAGCTGCGCTATCAGGCTTCCCTCTCTCCTCTCGCTTTTTTCTGAACCTTGCTTGGGACTTGCTTCTAAGCTAGGCTGAGGTTCTTGGGCATCATTCAGGTACTTATTTTTAAAAAGCCAGCTCTGAAGAGGTGAGTGGTTAGCGATGGCCGTTTCCTCACCAGTGATTTACGGTAGCTTCTTATAGGACCATCCAACCATTTCTGTGCCTAGATATCAGTAATGAAGATGGCTTTAGATCACTGCAAAGATGGCTCTCTGTGCGTGTGTGGCAGCCGCCAAGTGGATCAAACCCGCCAGGCTTTGCCACTCATTCCCTGCAGGGGCTGCCCAGGGAGATGAGGGAGGCAGAGTAGCACTCAGGACTACAAATCTCACATCGCTTTAGGTTTTTGTTGGTTCAAGGGCTGGAGGGGAGCACTAATGCAACAGCTGGGGAAAGCCATGGAAAGCCATGGAAAGCCATGAGCGACTGGGAAAGGGTGCTGGTCCCTGAGCTGTGGGAAAGGGTGCTGGTCGCATCACCTTTACTGACCTGATTTGGGGGGGCTATTTGGTCACAGCAATAAGACTGACATGGTGCTGTCCTTACTGAGGGGCCAGTCAAGGAAAGCGATTGGTAGAGGTCGCCAGCCTTGTTGCTCCTCCCCCCAAGTGTCACCTGCCAGCAGGAAAACCACCACCTTTGCCTACTGTGCATTGGGGGGGGGGCTTGGGCAAGGGGAGGATGGTTTTTTGCCACCTGTCAGGCTGCTGACAGGCATGGAGGTGGGTGGGGAAGAAGCCACCGATCATAAATGTGCTCAGTGCTCCACCAGTGCTGCAAGATCACAACAGTGCTGGCCCTGAGTCCAGCTCCGTCTGGTGGCTGGCAGTACCCAGAAGGGCTCCACAGTCGTTCTTCCCCCCAAGTTGTACAAACTCTAGAAAGTACAGCCATGCCGAAGCCCTGGAAATAGCAGAAAACCGGTGATGTGCCCCAAGGTGACAGAGCCAGCCACCCACAGCTGCCAGAACCAGGCCCTATTTCCAGGTTTAAATAGACCTCTGCAGAGTGGTAGTCTTGTCTGGTAAATACAGGTCTAATGCAGTTTCAAAAGAGAGCTAAGCCTGTGTTTATATGGAGCCCCCAGAAGACTGGACAAGTGCTGTGGAAAGGCATTGTCAGGCATTACACTGGCAGATACTTCTTGGAAGTCAGGTGTCTGGTCTCTCCCGCAGCTCAGGTCAAGATGGGCATCGAGGGCAGGGACCAGGGAGCAGGCAGGCTGGCAGTGCCAGCGGGAGTTGGGCAGATCCCACAATGGAGTAGCCACCACGCTGGAGATGAGGCATGGTAGACTGTCCCCGCAGCCCAAACTGTAAAACTGGGGCAGCTAGGGATGATTTTAAATAGCCTCGGCTGCAGATGAGGATGAGATGCAGGCTCGTGGCACAAAAGATGGTTCCCAGAGCACGCTCGTGCTGCAAAAAGGGGGATGAAAGGATGCACCCCAAAGAAGTTGGACATTATGTCACTTCAGCAGGTGCAGGTTAGAAGACGCTAGAAATCATTCTCCTGGAAACAGCCCTTTAGGGGCAATTTGCTAAAAGCCCTAAGGCAGTGTTTCTCAAACGTTGGGAGACACATATTTTTGTTTGTTATTGACTACAATACGCAACCACCCCTCCACCCGACCGCCTCCGCTGGCGGAGGGG